GGTGGGATCGAGAAAGGTCCTCGTGTCAGGATTCGAACTCGGGATGCCAGTAGCACAACGGGGCTGCCTGAAAGGCTATCTACCCTGACTTAAAAAAAAATATTGTTTTAAATATTGGAAATGACAGTAAATGTTTCTTGAGCACCAAATCAGCATATTAGAATTATTACTTTTGATATAAATAAAAAAAGAGATGTCTTTAAACATAGCTTTGGCCAGAAAAACAACAAACTAACGTGAGACATAGTGGAAGACACTGCAGCTAAATATGTTAACTAGTCTATACAAAGCTTAATAATAATAATTGAGATCATTAATAATAAAAAAATAATTGTAGTATTGTTGCAGTGTGCAGTGTCTTGTTGCTAGGCTTTCTACCGTATGTTTTAATGGACTATTTTTCTTATTATTCAAACTAATCTAGATATTACAGTACTTTCAACTTGAATGAAAACTGTATGTCCAAGTATTTTTTTTTTGCTAAACAGTTCTTTAGGTGTATAATAATGAGCAGGATTAATGTACAAACAGCCAGTCATTATTGCAAAATAAATCCCTTCAGGGTGTTTCGCACTGGCTCTGGTCAGAGTTTAATTTACAACTCTCTGTACATGATGCCTTATTATTATTATTATTATTATTATGTACATCATGCCTTGTCACATTTTGTCTAAAAATATTTCTAAAGAAATTGTGAAAAATTACATGCTTGTGGCAAAGAATAACTACCTCATAGATTAACTAACATGGACTGCCCATATCTTTTGTTCCTTTCCAAGGAACCCATCTGTTGTTCTTAGAGTCTTTTGCGGAGTACAATAATAACAAAGGATTATCAGCATATCCAATGCAAACCACAAGACTAATGAAGACCACAGAGGAACGAGTCTGGCTAACAGAAAAAATCAATCTTGGCATACGTTTTCAAAGCTATCTGGGGCAAGTCTATGGAAGCAAATTAACTCAATAATAGTTCACACAAAAGACACGATGCACACATGCGTATCCCAATTCACATGCACGAATATATACAGTATATATATATAATCACAAAAACCAATTCACGTGCACAAAATAACTATATACATTCATAAAATACACTTCACAAATGCAAAATACAATTCACAGATGTACAACTGTGTACAAAATTTTTGATTATTTAAAATTCACGACTTCATCATGAACTGTGAATGTGTGAATCAAATTGGACTTGTGTGTGTATTTTTGAGACTTTCCCAGCAGCCCCTCACTGCAGAACACAAGATCCAGGGGGCGTGGTTGGATCCACGGTGATTGGTAGGTTTAGGGGTGGAGATGGGTGGGTTTAGGGATCAGGGGGTGGAGACGGGTAGGTTTAGGTATATGTACGGTGGGAGGAGTTGGATCTGGATCTAACCATGCCCCCTGGATCTTGTGTTCTGCAGTGAGGACCATCTTGACTTTCCTGGCAGCGAACTCCTCCCACTTGGGACACTCATACTCTTTAGCCAATCAGATTTGAGCCTGTCGATCGACCAATCATAACCCGCTGTGGGTGTGCCTACCTGGATGTTACGTCATCAGCGCGAGACCACGGTTCAAGTCATGGCAGAGGTTTGTGCAGTTGATCGTTTCATTTCAGATAACTAGCCTTGTAAACGTGTATTGTTTTATCTTTGCATGCTTAAAACTGGGAAGTAAAATCGGTCGTTTAGACACGTTAACATGACCAGTGTAAGCCAGCGGCTGCTATGAATACAGATAGTGTTGTCAAAAATGCAGCTGTCTTGTGTTAGCCACAATGTCCTGTATATTGGCCAAAATGAAGAAAGTTAATTTGTTCAGCAACGCTGGGTGGCCATTGTTTAGCTCCCACTTAGCGCTGACCCTGCCCTCATCATCATAGCTTTATATAAAGAAGAATAGACCTCACGAGAACTCTGTGTATGAATAACAGTGTTTGTACTTACCATTTGTGCAACAGGATGCATTGTTTAATTCGTACACACTAATTGTTTTCCTTGCATTTTTCAGGATTTAAACACTTTGGCACAACATCTGGATGAGTTACAGGCCTCTTCCTTCACATTAATCTTTATCTCTTTTATGTACTTTACCTTTATTCATTTCTTAATGTAATCAACATTCATTTACTTATTTTTTCACATATTACTGTGATTAACCATTGTTAATGTTTAATCTTGTGTTGAGCTGTAATGTAAAAATCTTTGAGATCGCAATACACAAGATGATGTTGGGAAGCAGCAATTGTATTTGCTTGGTAACAGTTGTGGAATTTATGCTGCTCAGTCAAAGACAGACTGATCATAAAGAGGAATGCAGCAAAGATTCTTCAGTAAACTTTATTCTGTTATTTTATCATTTTATCTTATGCTTCCTGCTCTTTCTGTATCTGTATCTCTTGTAAAAGTATAAGAGTTAACAAGCCAAGCAGTTAACTGCTTTGAATATCACACAAATCTGGCACGTCCTCACAGAGAGAGAGAGATAGTGAAGACTGGATCTAAAACATTTGATTAATTAACTTTTGTAGCTGGGGGAAGGGTCCATAGACCCTCGTAATTGGCCATTTGGTTAGGTGATGGGGAGTTCGATATTATTTGTTAAATATAACAAAAAGTTGTGTGTCTGATTGGTCCAAATGCTACACTTTTCACATAATGTATCTACCATTCGGCCATGAAATTTACTTTAAAAGAATGCTAAAGACTCTAAATGGGACACTATACTAGCAGTGTAAATTCAGTGTAAATGAGGTCTGAATACCCTTTGACTGAAGAACTTCTAGCACAGTGTCAAACTAGTATCGAGCCAATCTCAGCTGTAGTTGTGCTGCGGTTGTACTCCCTCATAATAGAGTGGGGGAACTATGACGTCACTTTGTAGGCCGATCGGCTGTTAGCATCGCACTGGTTCCCTCGACAAAAAGCCAATAGGATTTTTCCATAGGCTTTTGGATTATTGCAAAAAATAAGCTCTGTGTTCAATCATAGTTCATGAAACTTACAAGTTTTGTCCATCAAGATAATCTTCAAAAAATAATATAACTTTTATCAATTTTGATTACTAAATAAAAGTGCAGAACGTAAAAGCTAAACTTAGGCTATATAAACGAACTACAGCACCACGGTTGCTCGCCTTCAACGTCAACACCACCATGCTTCCCACAACTTTTTCAAACTAATTTTTAACATGTTCAGTGAAAAAGATTTAGTCTGTATATGAATTTTAATCCACGCTACATGAACCTTTTCATATAAAATGGAATAAATACAAAACTAGAGCCAAACTAAAACTGAAATGAGACATTAGTAATAAATAAATAGTATAATGAATAAATTAAATAATTATAACTAAAGGACATATGAACGCACATATTTCTGTACATTTTGAAATAAGGTACATTAAAAGTCAATAAATCCTTGATTAATATGAATATTTTAATTAAAAACGTGTCTCCACAAACAATTCAATAAAATTATTGAATATATCTGCTGTTATATTAAATAACAGCAGAGTGAGCGAGTTTTTGGATATGGTAAGATTCAACTTATTTTAGTGAATAAAGTACCACATTTCAGCTATCGTTTTGTTAGGGTGGGTAAACAAAATGTTATTTTATCCGTGCTTCTAGAAAATCCTCAATATGCTTCGTAACAGCTTCATGTGGCCGTAAACATTTAATTTTAACGTGGCTTTAAGCACTATGCATTGTTAAAGTTTCACTTTCACCATGACTAAGCCGGTAAATGTGGTGTTTACATCGAATAATAATGAGTTTACCTTATAGTACAAACCCAGAGTCTCCGCATCAGTAGGAAAGCGATAGAATGAGCATCTTCCATCCAAAGACTTGTGTTGCATTTCGAGGCAAAGCAAAAAAACTATTGAATAACAATATAAAATGCGGGAAACTATTAATTGGTTATTCTACAATTAATTGTACTATAAATTATACACTACGATAGGATAATACTGTAAATTGATAAACTGTTCGGCATGATGACGTTTACTGTCTAAGACAGCGACTGTAGTTCCATTTAGCAACTGGTTAGCAACCGTCTTTTTCAAGAAACGTAACAGTTTAAAGAAATCACGAGTGGGGTGTAACTGGTGTCTTTTATGTTGTAGAATAAAACGTGAAAGTTTCTTGAGCTTGTGTGAACCACGGACCTTATTTTAGGGGATTTAACCAAAGAAGTTGGGGAGGGCCGCAGCACACGCGAGCTTACACTGGTCATGTTAACGAGTGTGTCTAAACGACCGATTTTACTTCCAAGTTTTAAGTAAGCATGCAAAGATAAAACAATACACCACAAGGCTAGTTAACTGAAACGAAACGATCAACTGCACAAACCTCTACTCTGCTGAACCGTGACTTGAACTGTGGTCTCGCGCTGATGACGTAACATCCAGGTAGGCACGCCCACAGCGGGTTATGATTGGTCGATCGACAGGCTCAAATCTGATTGGATAAAGAGTACGAGTGTCCCGCATGGGAGGAGTTTGCTACCAGGAAAAATACACGCACAAATCCAAGGCGATTCACACATTCACAGTCCATGATGAACTCGTGAATTTTAAACATTCAAAATTTTTGTATATATTTGTACATCTGTGAATTGGGTTTTGCAGTTGTGAAACGTATTTTATGAATATTTATTCTTATTTCGTGCACGTGAATTGGGTTTCAAGCATGTGAATTGGGATATGCATGTGTGCATCGTGTCTTTTGCGTGAATTAATCTAATCTGCTTCCATACAAGTCTATTGAAGTAACAGCTCATAACGCAAGGCAAAGGGACTGCTGGCATATGGAATCTTATCAAAGGCATTTTCTTTAAACTGTCTTGAGAATATGTTTCCTCAATGAATGGTTTCTCTCTCATTGCTCTGTTTCTGCCTGTTTTTTCTTTTGTTCATTCTATTTGATTTATCCCATTTCCTTTGAGCAGAACCCTCTGTACACAATGCTGAAAAGAAACCAAAGGAAAACTCACCTGTCTGTCCAGCTTCTGTTGTCGCAGGTTCGTGCCCTCATCATCCAAGGTGCTGCAAGAGGACAAAACAAGATTAATGGGGAAACCTCACAAAAAAGATGTGCCACAGCGAGAGTTGCACCAACAGAGATACGATTCAAACTTACTATTGGTCCTTTTGTGTATACAAAGATAGTCCAGTGCCAAGAGAAGCATACAGTAAAAGAAAAATATAACCTATCAATGATTTAAGCAACGGCAATCTTTACAGATGTAATTCCTTACTGTTCATGTCCTTCACTAAAAATTCTGCTGCGTAGGATATGACATAAGTCTTCAGTATTAAACATATCTTAGCGCATGCATTATTGAAAAAGCAACTGTATTATCATATAAATAAATCACAACCATCGCTCTCTATTTACTGGTCACTAAACCTAAAATATGGGCAAAACAGTATATAAATAGTGCATATACACATCAGACAGTGCTGCTGTGTTGATCATGCCTATGACTCATTGTGCTCTTTCAGGTCCTGTGAGGAGGGAGGTCTTTGTTGAGGCCTTTGTGCTCTGCCTGTCCCTCCTCTCGTTCGCTTTAATCAGCTATGACACATTCACTCCAGACCTCCTCATGCATTTCTGCCACCTGTTATTGCGGAGCCGAAAGCTGTGTTAATTAAATGGCAATAGAGGGCTTCCTCTGTGGCTGTGGTGGATCATGCGGAGAGAAGAAGTGTGACAGATCAAGGGTGGTGTGGTAAAGGATTTGTGCTCCGTAATCTGTAAAGCACAACTAGGGTGCTGGTTTAACATTTGATAGGAACTAATTTTACAATCGTTCAGAGTATTGATATTACAAACAATTACAAACACCGTAAAGAAATCAAGAATTCTGCTATCCGTGTTGATTTGGATAATCTCTGGATGTCATTAGACAATAAAAAATTATTTTTATTTTTTTTTACAGCAGTTTAGGTTCACAACACCACAGGCATTCACTCATTTCCTTGATGACATTATGAAACACAAACAAACATGCTAATCAGATGGGAATGGGAATACAATGGGATTTTGTCAATATTAAATAATAATAAACTTTACCTCATGTAAATGCAATACTTGGTTCAAAATAATGTGATTAAGCTCATCGTCGTAGCAAACAATCATATTAAAATGTTTGTGCCATATACCAGTTTTAATCACAATAAACGGGTACATAAACACCTTAAATACATTATAACAGCTCTAACCAAAGTGCAAATTTGAATGATGCATTGTGATGATCTAACTGGTTTGCTATGTTAACCCTACAGCTGATAGCCAAGTCTTTGCCTTAATGCCTGCTTCACATCGCAAGCAACAGCAGAGTGTGAGCAGTGCATATTTTGTCTCTACCTATATTAATGAATAACTGTTCACATCGGAAGGGTGACGGAAAAACCTCTTTCATTAACATAAACAGTGACAAAATACGTGCTGCTCACACTATGCTGTCACTTGCAATGTGAAACAGGTGTAATAGACATAGCTGAATTATTGTCATTTAGGAATAAGATTGTGTCGATGTTTCAATGAGTATCGCGATCTTTTAACGATTAATCGTGCAGCTCTAAAAGACAGACGAACGGACAGAAAGACAGACATACAGTTACAAAATATTTCTAACCAAACCAGTACTAACCAACCTGGACCAACACAGAAATTCATGTTGCTCTAAGCTTGTCTTTTCAGGAGGATTATACTAGTGTCTGTTTCTCCCTCTCTAGCTCGGATCGATATTCCAGTGCCTAGCTGCAAAGAACTCAATCTCTACTTTCCTATTTAAACCTGAGAAATCTCACTCTCTATGGACTGCCAACACTGACACCATTTTTATCACACATGCACATGGGCACGAAGATACAAGCCCACGAACACACACTCATTCAGAAATACAGACACCTATTCGGTAACTCACACACTTACTGAAACCTCAGGATACAGAAAAAGCCATGCTTATTTGCACACATTCGTGAACTCTCTTCTAAAGCTAAAATACATAAATGCACACAAGCACAAAGCGAAGTGCCTAATGTTAGCAGTCAAGGGTGTCAGTTCCCATCAGATTGGCAGATAATGACATAAACAGAGCAGTTATAATGAGGGTCAACAAGGAATGAGAGATAAATTGATATGTTCTGACAGCTGCCTGCAATGTGCGGTAGAACTTCTCTCCCTCACCATCAAGCTTCACTGATGACAGTGACAATTCACTTTGTGTGTCATTGTGTGCGTGTGTGTGTGTATATGCATGTGGGTGTTTAACTGTATGTGTGTGTAATGGAATCTGAAAATAACATTTGCTGATTTGCATGCTGTACTTTTACCTGCAAATTTTCATTCATCAAAACATTCAAAAAAAAAATCTTGAAATAGGATTTACTCAAGAAGCAAAATTGCATAAGACATCGGACAAGGCCTGTTTTTAGAGAATATATCTTAATTTAAGTTCGCCTTTCTTCTGCTTCTTTTATATTGCATGGAGAAAAAAAGATTTTGAGAGTGAGTGATAACAGAATACTTTTTTTTTTTCTTTACGCAGTAGGGATGATTGCATATTTCTTTACACTACTCTACTGCACAGATCAAGAATGAAGGTCAGTCACACTTTTGAGATAGCTTTAAAGAATTTCTATAGAGTTATGCAAGTCTTTCCTTCTTAGCGTCACATCTTTCCGCATGTTTCTTAGTTCTTTCCGCCTGCAATGAAACTCTTATTTTGATTCCGTCTTTTCACAACTATCTGCTGCAATTCACTGAGTGCGTCACAGGACAACAACAGAAAAGCAGAAACACTACATGGATCAAGGCTCTGGAAATATTTGTACATTTTTTTCAGTGTATCCAAGGACATTTTTGACAGTGGAAACAAGCAAACTTGAAACTAGCCATCGATTACGAAATCCAGTTTCCACCACAGAATAAAAAATAAGGTGATTGCAACTTTTTCAATTCAGACAAAAAAAAGAGTCAGAAATGCGAGATATAAACTCAATGTTAAGCTTTTTTCCAAGCTTAACATTGGAATTTACTACTTTTTTTAGAGGACATTTGACTGATCAGGGCAAAATTCTGATCAGGGCAAAACACAGAATGCGTTTATGTACATGCACACTAGCATGACAGTGTTCAAATGGAAAACAGGCAATGGTACTTAGCTTAGTGTGGATAGCAAGGTCCTTAACCTCCAGTGAGCTCCGTATGTGTGTGTGTGTTTGTCCATGTAGGGTCTGTGACCTACCAGAGCACACTGACTCTCTAATAAGCTGGCCAAGGCTGTGAAATTAGTGTTTGTGATGCAGAAGGTCCAGCTGAGACAACCTCAGATACGCCAGCGTGATCTCAAAGCTCAATACATTTTTCATAGCAAGCCCCATCTGCAAGGGAGGAGATGCTCATCACACAAGGAAAAAAAGCCATGAAGGGCCCAATGGCGCTGCTGACTGAGGGATACATGATGGAAGGACACATTTACTGCCTGTGCTCACTGCTTTCTGTTTCCCTAGTCCTTTAGTACTGTAGGGGGTGTCAAACATAAGAATATTGCCTACCATCAGGAAGGCAGAGATCCAGATCTTGCTGCATTACCAGTCTGCCTGAAAGCAAGACACTTAATAGCAAATCACCCTACTGCTGCTTCTCTAATTATTGACCTACTTTCTTTTTTGGATGGAAATCATTGCCACATATGAGTAATTCAGCTGTTCAACCATAGCTCTAAGGTACAATATGCAAGAGTGCAGTGTGTTATCTATGAGATCAGCCTTTTGCAAGGCAAATCTCTGCCCAATTCCTATCTAAATAAATACAAAAAATATGGGTCATCAGTATTATCGGAAAATAATACTTTCATAGACCTTAAAGGGTTAGTTCACCCAAAAATGAAAATTAGGCTGTGTTTTACTCACCCCCGAGGCATCCTAGGTGTATATGACTTTCTTCTTTCAGACAAATCCAGTCGGAGTTATATAAAAAATTGTCTTTGATCTTTCAAGCTGTTTAATGCCACTCAGCGGGTGTTGCATTGCTTCAGTCCAAAAGAACTTAAATAAAAATCGCCCATCCATAAAAAAAAGTGTCTCACATGGCTCCGGGGGGTGAACAAAGGCCTTCTGTAGCGAATCGATGCGTTTTTGTAAGAAAAATATCCATATTCAAAACGTAATAATCACTTGAATCTAGCTTGCGCTCACTGTTGTAAACAGAAGCAGTTCCGGGGGAATGATGTATGAGGTCTTTTCACCGAACGGCTTGAAGCAATGCAATACCCGCTGAGTGGCATTAAACAGCTTGAAAGATCAAAGACAATTTTTTATATAACTCCGACTGGATTTGTCTGAAAGAAGAAAGTCATATACACCTAGGATGCCTCAGGGGTGAGTAAAACCCTTTAAGAAACACCAGTAATAAACAAAGAACTTTCCAGAGGGAAAAAGCTATTGCTCATAGGCAGAGGCGGACAAAGTACTCGACTCTATTACTTGAGTGAAAGTATAGATACTGCTGGTCAGGTGTGGATTTATAGGCTAGTATACATTAATGGAGTAATAACATAACTTACGACAAAAGAGCAGAGATAAAAAAAAAAAAAAGCGATCTCCGCTCATGAAAAGCGCTGCCCTGTCCGTTTGATCGCCGCCCAGCAGACCCACGGAGCGGGCATGAGAATGAGAGGTGTGGCCGCGATCACTGGTGCTCGCCTCATCATCACAGTGACCGCTTCTGTTAAATATTTCTCACTTCTTTTGTTTGTTCGACACCGAGGTGCACCAAGAGTGACGGATACGCATCCCGGGCATCCCAATCGATGTGCTTTCATTTTTTTTTTTTGTAATAAACACCTCTCTGAGACCTGTTTTTTTCAGATCTCCACTGTTTTTGTTCGATCGGTTACACTTTACTTGAAGGGGTGTGCATAAGACTGACATGACACCTTCATAATCATGACATGACACATGTCATGAATATGAAGAAGGTTTTATGCATGTTTATGACAATTGTCATTAAGTGTCATTCGCTCAGTTATGTCATT